AATTCTTCGTTTAAACCGTGCAAATGCTTCAAATCTGTATTTTATGTCTGCAGTACGATATTTGACAATGCGGAATGTGCAGAGACCGTTAAATATGTGGAAATTAAATTATTCATGTGTAACGTACAATTACCATTGCACTACGCCAACAGATAAAGGACAGAAATGCAAATTAAATCTAGAGGGATGGGGAAAAATTTCCAAGTGAAATCATTTTGTCAAGATTAGTTTGGTTATTATTTTGAGTGCTGTGGCTACGGCAATAATGCATCGAGTGAAGTCAGAGTCCGGGTAATTTCATGTTCACGATGTGAACGATTTACTATTCCACTTCTCATTCATAAGAGCTCGTGATACATCAAATAAGCTGAGTATTTTCTCATTTGTCAGTATATTACCTGATGAATACCGTTAACTTTATGTGTAAACCTGAAAAGATGAAACTACTTCGTTTTAAACTTTCTAAACGTTATTTGGTATATGCCTGAGTGCAGAGTGAACATAAACGCTGGCCATCGTTCAATCAAAAACGGCTGATTTGTCTCGAAGTTATTACATCGTTAATTACCAACTATTGTCGTGTGTACGGAAACTGCGAAGACGTTTGCGTTACGCTGTGATGATGTCTTTTAAACAATGAAGATTGAAATTGAATTTGTTATGATCATACACACATAACACGAAAAAGGAAGCATATATTAATTCTGCTCGTTGTTACATCATACCTTCTCCATTATAACTTGGCCTTCCAAATTATTATACGACACCAAGTAAAAATGTTTAAATAAAGGATCAAATAACATTTGAAAATTAACTGTTCTCAGTTTTAATTTTCCATATGTTGACGTTAATAAGCCTCATCTGATACACACCTAATGTTAACTCTTCACTTATCATCTTTTGTTCATCATCCTTTTCAAAGTTACCTTGACCTCTACATAACTTTGATTTATTTACAATCTAAGATACAAGGATCAATAATACTGTACTTTGTGTGAATGCTGATGAGGATTCAGGCGAAAGCGAATTTTCTAAATTCAAATATTCTCATTAGTTGTCTGTTGAATGGAACTCACAGTAAAAAAACAACATACATTAAAACTGTGTAAAACTATTCAAGATGAAAAATGTCAGTTTCGAGTGACCAATAAAATAATAAACATGGTGTTCCTCGTAGATGATGAATGAAAATCTTTCTTGAGAATATTGATTACTGATTTGTTGTGCTATCAATCCGTATGTTGTAAAAGAAGTATACAACAAAGTGTACTTAAGTGTATATTGAGTGTGTCTTACGTTACAATTAAATTTCAAACGAATATAATTAGGAAAAAACAGGCAGCAGTTTAAACATGCATATGTATGACGTGCATACTAGAAAAAATAGCTATGATGGATGACAAGTGGACCGACAGATGTTTCATAGTCACGGAACTCGCATTTTATTCATTTATTAATTATGAGCATTTGAAGTGGATGCAGATTTTACCTATAAACATGATGTCGTTGAAGAATAGTAATCATGTAATCACATAGCTTACACAGAAATATAAACAAATAACGTTACACTTAAACTTTCACTGTCAAATTAAGTTGGCAGGTGAATATTCCAGTACATGCCTTGAAAAACAGCTATGTAGTTTAAAATCTTTGAATGGTCGTAACAAGAATTATCAGAGGAAGACGGGCCATCATTATGATTCATCCAGCTGACCATGTTACCCTATTGATTCAGTTCATTAACATCTCTGTCTGTCTGCTGTTGAATCTATGAAACTTTCAACTCATTCGTATTCAAACAGTCAATAATTTTCAATCGACTGATACCGTGGGAACGGTGATACCGTAAACATGAAAAACGAGAACGTTCCAATACTTTTAAATGCAAAAACATTTCATTGAAAAATTAAAATTGTCCATCTTTTTCCCAATGATTTGAAAATTTTCTTGTTTGATTGATCTTTATCTGCAATTACTAGACATCGTTAGTAATAACTTGTGCACATTCATTCGTGATGCTGATTCGAGCTAGACAACGAAGAATTGTTAATGTTCGATTCCTGTCCTTGGACACCAATCATTAGTAAGTTATTGTGTAAGTGTCAATAATGTTGACTTCATTCACCTTATCTCATTTGCTGTTGCGTAACCACGGACGTATTAAGGCCACAAAGATGTAAGTAACAAGTGAAGTAGGGAAGCGAATATTGTTTGATATCAGTTCATATACCATTTATCTCTTCTGTACCATTCAGTTAGTTTATTATTATTCTAAAATAATTAAGTAATTTGATTATCAAAACACTGAACCACTGATTTCATATCATTCAATTTCATATTTTAATCAGTAAAGCGAAAAATGAACAGATTTAAAGCAAACTCTGCCTGCAGACATTCTGAAGAACTCTTGATAATCAAGCAGATAATAAATGTAAGATTGTTGTGCTTGCGTTTAACGCTCCAATGAACATCACAATAAATCTAGTCCAGATCATGTGGGATGTAACCAATTTCATAAAACATTTGATGGACGTCTGCTTCTCATATCATGATGATATATAAATTTATATAAGAATTTCAAAGTACTGTGAGATTTTCACCATAATTTACTATTGAAATACTATAATTAATTGGAAAAGACGACTAATTTTTTTTTGGGCAATCGATGAGTTGACTACTTCTTATAATATAAGTATATAATTTGCAACGCGTAATGAGAGACGGATTCAAATTAGTCAGTGAGTCGTTTATGTGTGTGGTGGCTTCGCGTTGAATATTAGTCTATATGGTGACGTACAATAATCACCTGTGTCCTTAAGTGGGTCACTTCTTCCGAATATTTGATTTTGAAATCAGCATTGAAAATGTGTGTCGTTGGTGCATGTCGTCAGTTCATTTGGTTCGAAGATGTTCCTCAAATGTACAAATGCTTACTTTCAGTTCACATTGCGTTCCATTTAATAAGCATTAGATCCACCTTGTGGGGATATGATGCTGCATATATTCAGTAGATTCAGACTGAGGTAACATCCCTGTTATCCAGTTGATAGTCGGTAGAATCAGATGAAGTGATAAAAATTAGTCTAGACCGATATCAAGTTACACCAAAAGCGAGTCACTTAGCAGTTCATCGTGCATGAATTAGCAGTAATGATTGTACAATGGTGTTCCTGTATTTTTGACTCCTGCTCAGATACTCTTCTTCGCAGCCCCGATATAGAACATGCCATACTTTGCATTGTTAATCTTATCATCATGCGTACAATTTCAATACGTTTTTAATGTTTTCTTAGCGGATTCGAGTTTTCTGATGAACTCGATAACTCTTCGTTAAAATGCATGGTGGTTTTTCTTGATAGTGAACAATATAAAAACAAGCTAGTAATAATGATTTTCAGTGAAAACACACCATTGATCTCTATTCAAAACAAATCCTCAAAACCACGGATTTTTTATTTTAATCCAGCCTAGATTTGATCGCTTGAGCACTGAACTCTGTTTAAAACAATGGAAGCTGTATTGTTTTTGGAGACGATGTGAAGTTAAATAACCTCCGGTAGAAAAAATTAATTTGATTTTATTGAGCCCTAAGGATAATTTGACGTTGTTTGTCTTCAATATTTTATGCAAAACCTTATTTGCAGATCAAACAGTTTGCTGTGAAATTTTGCCACCTTTACTAATATACTATCCAAATGTATGATATCAGAAAAATTGCTCGTGATTCTAATTAACGTTTCTTGAAGATACAGTGTTAGTTCAACAGTCTTCGAGTTGTAAATCTATGTGAGAATTTCACTTGTTCAACTATGGATGCGCACTGACCATGTGTCCATTAATAAGACCAAATTTTTTCCATTTCTTTTGCGTTTTCGCAAGATTTCTGAAAATTAGTTGATTCATTATTTCAATAAAACTCAACAAACTCAAAAATATAGTTTAACTATTACAAACGTACAGTCCTATTTTTGAATCAGTCAGTTATTAAGTATTTTTAGTTTTTAATCTTTTACATTGTGCACGTGATCATTACACCGGGTGATAGCACGCCCTGTTTAGTTTATTTTTCGCAGTCACGTTTATCCACTATCAATAGAGGCACTCAGTCACATATTCATATCGGATCACTTTGGGGTGTTTCATGCATTTTCTTGTTCGACAGTCAACCTCTAAGCCTTGTTCACATTCTTATTCGAAATACACATTTGTTCTCACTCTCTTTTAACTTTCAATTTGATTTGAAAACCACGGTTTTCTATATTAGAGACTGAGAATTGCCTTACTCTGAATATATCTTGGACGTACTAATCAGTAAACCTAAAATGAATTTGTACGCTCAGCGGTATATTTTGGGTCCGTTTTTTGTCATAAAGTCTTACATAACTGTATAGTTTTACTTACCGAGTACAAAATCCTCATGCAAATTTTCGAAGATTATTTTCATATGATGTTGTAACACATTTGATATTCTGAAGATGAGGATCCTGAAACCCACAAACTTCCGAACTACTGCTAATCTGGTCTGACGATATCGAGTTATATTACATTCAGTCATAATACGCTTTAGCCAGATTAGTTTTGTCTAGATGACTAAATGTTTGATATCGAATTTCTTGTGACCAGTTGGAAAGTGAACATGACAGTAGTTTGATACAATGTCTAGAAGTAAGCTGATTATTCAAAATTACACACAACGCGATACATTTTTGAATGTCTTTTGTTTACTGTGATTGAAATATATTCGATGAATATGCCTTAAACATCCCAAAGAAATTGATTTTTGCATATAGAAATCTTATATCACCAATTTTATTTATCTAGGATATCACACTGATCAAAAATAGATTGAGTCACTGATAAAAACGTTTCACTAATCTGTCATGATCTCAATGATAACGATAATCTTCTAAGTACTAAACCGGCAGTTATCGTATGCACTTTGTTGACTAGCTTTTCTTTTGAAATAGTTTCTAATGAAGATCAAAGTAAAATTCAGACAATTGTATATCAAAATACTGTATGTTTAATAATAATAAAGGAATAATTCTGATGAACAGAATCAAACACCTTTAAATTCAAAGTAATGTTTTGGAAAAAGAAGAATAGATCGTCATCAAAAACGGTTTTGCTGTGTAACTGTGCTATTTTGGCAACAGTGGGCGAAATAATTGACATGAATTTCAGAAATAATCAACAGTATCACAAACTCGAACGCAGATATCAAAGTCATGTACAGTGAAGAGTAATCTTCGGATTCGCAGTATTTCTTCATGTAATATGTGGTTAGTAAGATCACCTGTAATTATAAAATTGATAATGCTCAGTCTAACAATAAGGAATTCGGCACGTCATATTTATGCGATAAAACAACCGATAGTTTCAGATGGAGTGTGCAATGTCTAGTAATTCTACATCACTCGAACAAACCAAATGACAAGTGATTGATTTGTTTGATCGATCGTTTAATGGAATAGTCCTAGGAATTGAGGACATCCTCATCAACCTTCAGTTAGTCGACGCAAAAAATTACAAACAAAATATTAAATCTTCACTGTTCAATACCTAATATTCAAGCCTACATATTATTATATCAGAACTGATGACTGTTTCACTTTCCATCTCCAGTCAATAATTCTACATAATAATAATGAATTGTGCAAATGCTTCAAAGTTGTAGTTTCAGTCTGTGGCATGGTATTTAAAAATGCATGCTGTATATAGAGAGATGAATATGTGAAAATTCAATTGATAATGTGTAACTTACAAGAAACATTGAACCACACCAACAAATCAAGGACAGAACTGCCAGTGGAATCTAGAACAAAGAGACAAAAAGTTCTCATTTCAAATTATTTTGTATATATTCGATTTATTATCATCAGGCGTTATACATCTGCAAATGTGCTGAGTGCTGTGAATACGAAAGACTCGTAGTGTGTCAAGTTATAGTCCAGTTTATTTCATGTTCACGATTTGGACGATATACAACTCCGTTTAACTTAAATAGGAGCTAATATTACGACAAATGAGCTGACTCTTTCTAATTTACACATTTTGAAAACATGAGTCCATCAGTGTTAGTGCAAAATCAGAATCCCAGAATCACTGAACGGCCGTTATTTCCTGGCAAATGACTCATCAACGGTGCACAGCCGAGACTCATGCACCTAGCTGGATTCAAACCCAGAACGTTCTGTCTAATGCACGAACGCATAACGTCTGGACCATTGAGCCGAAATTTAACGGTTTTATTGTTTTACTTGGTCGTTTGTTGGTAATTTGCTTGATGAATACCGTTAACGTTATGCGCATACCAGAAATGCTGACAATACTTCATGACATTCTATTCAATTCGCATTTACACCACAAAAAGATGGACACAAACACCGGTAATAGTTCAATCAAAAAACAGCTGCTTTGTCGCAAAGCCTTTATATAAATTATTCGTTTGGATTGTCGTTTTTATAGAAAGTGCAAAAACGATTGCGTAATGCTCTAATACTCTATGTTAAACGTAGATGAATCAAATTTATTTCTTATGATCATACATAAGTAAAATATAGCAATTTTCGATTGATGTGTATATCTCACACAGGTTAAACAAAAGGCGACATTCATAAGTAATAAACAACGTTAATTAAACTGTGTTTAAGAAACCAAAGCTTACGGAACAGCATTTAACTATGCTTGATATAAAGAAAGCGATTCCAGCTGTCGCCAAAATACAGCAAAATGAAAATAACAGTATTCTCCATAGTCGTGGGATAAGCTTCAGCTGAACACCCAGAAAAACAGCGGGGATCGTTATTGTGTATGTCAGACTAGGAGCTATGACGTAATCTTTCCAATTACCAGGTGGACTCAGTAATCCAACACCGATAGTCATAATGATCAACTGAAAATAACCGAGTATTAGTTTAATTTGTTGTAAACAAATTATTGTAGCTCTCATCATTGAGAGAAATAACTTAAGCCTAACTGATCATGTGTTGTTGACAATTATAAGGCCTGACGTTTAACACGCCATCTGTCTGAATGTATCTCAAGTGCTTCTTGTCCGTCGTGAAATAATTTGCAAATGAATTCGCAGATCCTTTCAACATGAGGTTATAAGATCATCCTAATAATTTCTTATTATAAGAGATGAAAATTTGAAAAACAAAGGAAACTGTAAAACGAATGTATTAGCTGAACACAACGTCTCTTGCAGAGATTGTTAATTACGAAATTGAAGAATCAATATGCTCGGTGGTGAATACGTAATTTAAAAGATTGATTCACTTTGCATGTTCGTTGCATTAAAATAACAGATAATATCATACAAACAGTTATTTCCACCCACGTTACTCATCGGTTCAATCAGCATTACATGAGGATCACGTACTAACCACTGTGTCACTTATCATCCTCATTTGTCAACCACTCATTTCAGAGTTACCATCAATTCCTGAACAGCAGTGAGTCATTTAAGATGAGTTTAGATTATCAGATACGCGTATCAATGAAACATTATTTTAGAGCGAGTGCTGACCAGTTTTGAATCTCCGGCGATGTTGACTAAGTTGTATAAATCTAAGCAGTTCTCTGTAGCTTCAAACTCATGTATCAAAATATTTGTAAATTACCTACATAATATATAATAACATCCTTAAAACCAGGTTAAAAAACACAAAATGATTAAAACTTATGTTCAACCAACCGTTACAATAATGAAGATGGTGTTCCTTGTAGATGTAGAGTGGAAATGTTTGATGAAGATTATGATGACTGCCAATAATAATGCTATGAACCTGAAATGTGAGAATGAAACGTACCGGAAAATAAATTGAAGTGTTTATTGGGTTAAGTACGATCAATTAAAAGTTTAATCAAATATTCAGGTTGAAAAATTGGTAGCATTTCGAAGAAGCAATTGTTTAATATGCATATCGGCGGGAAATAAATGAAACGGACAACAGTGAGAACAGTCGTTGGGAGATCATCCAGATAGTCGAATACTACTAATTTTATTATCATGAACAATTAAAATGAAAGGGCTGTTTAATGGGATACTCCAACGAAAGTTCTTTGATAAAGGGTAAGCCGTTTATATGTTGACTAATGTTTGATCGATAACAGGGATGTATTTAGGTGATTGTAAAGAAAATGCGATCGTCAGGTTTATCAGATATAATGACTAACATTAAAATGAGACCAGACAAACGTTTGGCATCAGTCCAACATTGTGAACGTATTCTTAAAGTAAATGATGAATTTTCTTCTGAACCTCAATTACTTACATGCACGACGTTCCATTGCAGTGGTCATTACGTTGATTTGGTTCAAACACTTCTCTGAATTCCCATGTTATCATCGTTGAAATATTTTGATTTAATAAAGTCCATAATTCCACCGACAACTGGATTGACAGAATGATTGGATACAAGCAAAGATGATATATGGTTACGTGTATGATACAAAAATCTGAAAACAAAATTCCTCTCTAGTACTTTCACTAATAATTGTATATTTTTAAGTACGTATTCATGAACATGTCTTTGAGAACAGTAACGTGTTCTGTGAATAACAATTGGAGACGGCACAGCACGATATTTAACCCGATTTCCCATCGAAATTTATCTCTATCTTATGAAGCATTGAATCTGTTTCATATTTAAAATGTCAATGCAATTCAATGTGCTCAAAAAATTAGGCTATTTAGACCCTGAATTAGATCAGACAAAAATAAAACCTGAGTGATAAAATGATATTAAAGATTGCAAACTCACATCGTTCATTTTCAGCGTTAGTTTAACACTATTGTCGACAATCTCCGATATATATATTTAAATACACCGATTACTCCACATCACATATTGATTATCTGGTGCTAACAGCTTTACTGAACTTTGAACAAAATAACAGTTGAATTCATATCATATAATACCGGATTCTGTAATTTATTTAGAGATACAGCCTAAGTAAACAACTAATACATGATGACACTTTGGAATGAAAGAATGAACTATCATTTGATTTATTGAAGCTAATATATGAAATGAAATTATCAATAACGTGTTAAAGTAAATGTGCGCATGGTTATGCCGAATTACACTGAGGCTTAGTGGTAGGGTTGATTTATATTCACCTTTACCCACAGGCAATGTCCATATCACATGTGTATACAAGCAAGATATCGGTCAAAATTTCTACAGTTCTTAAAATTGTTGTTATCGTTGCAGATACAGGCTATGGTGTGGTTCATCAATCATCAGTTAGAGATACTGTACACATAAACAAGTAATACGAGATGATAGTTTGAAACGAAAGAATGAATTATCATTTGAATTATTGAAGTTTATATGTTCAATAAAAGAATGATGTCATCAGATAACAAGTTGTCAGAAATATTCTAAACCTTCATAGATTTCTCGATGCGTTGATGATTTTTAATATTTGAATGAGCCTGATTGTCAGTTTCAATACACTTTGAATGATAACTTATACATTTTTATATGTGATGATGATCGCAACTAGTGAAAAAAATAAATTGAAACGACGATTCTTATAAAAATATCATATCAAGAACTTGTGACAGTGAATGCGAGAATAGTGATGACAAATTACACTGAGGCTTAGGTCTGGTGTTGATTTCATCCCATCGCCTTCCATTTGCAGTGGCGTGACCGCAGACGTATTCGAACAACATATCGGTAAACATTCCTACGGTTCTCAAAATTGTAGTTATTGTTTCAGGTGCAGAGTTTGTCGTGGATCATCAAGTTTGATTCCATCAACCAGCATAAGATGTGTCGAAAAGGAATGTCAATAATGCATCGTTATCAAGTACTTTTATATACGTGAAATAATGTTTTCGAATAAGATGAAGTTTTCAAAAAAATTTCTTTCTTGGATACAGAATAAATGCACTTGACTATTGTCCAGTTCAGTTTTCTGGATGTTGTTCACGAATTTCCGTTTGATGAATCAGTATTTGCGAACAATTTTTTGAATGAGCCTTTCCAATCAATTTTTTGAAACTGATAAAGATTTTTAATTTACAGTCTATTCGAATGTTAAGTGAGTACCATTTTTTGTCTGCTTACACACATAGATGTTTCATTATTTGTTGTGAACTTTCATTTCACAAATACTCTTGAAATGGAATACTTTTATGAAGATAACGGGAATAGTGGAATTTAAAAATTTATTATTGTAACCGATTGTACTAGTGATTGCTTTACCGTTTTGTTTAATTGTTCAAAGAACACTCAGCTTTCTCTCTCTTTGACTTTGACATTTCTTATGCTCACTCATTGTTTTGTCGGTATATGTTTGCTCGATGGTGGAAGTATTTCGATGCCACGAGATTGCCAACAAATATATTTATTTCCAATCACAACTGGACTTCAGATTTATGCCTGTGGTCGGATATAATTTGACAATTGGCATAACATATTCTGAACTCGCTATAATGATTTTGTCCGTTGTCAGTTTCTCTCGTAACTTCCTATCGTTGTTTTTGACGAAAATGCTTCGCTAAAAATCCCTTACATACATTAAAATATTAGGAATTATCTAACAACGAACAAATTACGAATTTGAACCCTTGACGACTGATATCCACCTAACTGTCATAGTATCATCCTGGCACCGCAAATAAATGCTATTTATTATTATTAATATTATTTGATAAGGGAGCGTCAGTTCTAATAAAATGATTATTCGATAATTATCCATAGTTTCGTGTATGGTTTTGTCATCATAAGCATCTTCAACATACAATGCAATAAAAATTTTTTTATTTAACACTTGGTGAATGAGTGATAGAAACCCAAATATAAGGGAAATCATTTGAATTCGTTACTTCATTTTTTTTTCCATCAAAATTTCCAATGAAACTGATTCGACTTGAATTTTTGTGGCCCTCCCAACACACAATCTATCAAATCTTATTATGTACGACAATTAATAAGTGATTATAGAATAGATGCATACTCTGTTACAAACACACAACTCTGACTGTTCCAATGTATGCGTTATTTGAGAGCCGGAGAGTGAGGAATGGAGAGCAAAAATAATAAATGCAGACCTAAAAAATTATTTCTTTTAACGTAAATATCTTTTCTTATTTTGGTTGTTTTTGGTAGTGTTCAGTTAAATACAGAATTATCACCTTATTCGCCGTTAGCGTTTGATATGTTACTTAAATGATTGCACTCTACTTGCTAATACAACCTATAGCAGATGACGCTAAAGAGAAGAAGGATGGGAATTTTTGATTACTGTTATTACGGAATTACGCTGATCAAAAATCCACAGTCATAAGAAACCAAACAATATAAGAGATAGTATCGTAGAGCAGAAAAGAGCGCGTCTTGTAACATAATTCAAACCACTTCAAATTTTGTAGCCGGGCTATGAAAATATCGCTCACACAGACAGCGACGAGTCCGAAGTCAAGTGTGCTTTACCGTTGACTTTTTGAAAAGCTGCAGAGCAACAAAATAAATTATACATGAAAGGACGAACTCATTTATAAAGTATGACATCAATTTTCATGAACTATAATTCAAAATGTTGATCAATTTTAAACAGTTTGTAAGTACCTTTTAATTGGTTTTACAAATTGTTCAATTTATCTGGGTTACCGCATAAAATAAGAATTGGTCACTTTTCCAATGATGATAATGCAGCCAACCTTCTTTCAAGCAATAAAAGCGATGGATCTTAAGCTATTAACTGTTTTCTGAACACACTTCACAAATCTGAGAGCGAAAAATGTTTTGACGTAATAATGATTCGTGCCTAATACATTTGACACATTTCATAATTATGTAGGATGGTATTCCGAAAATTACAACAAGTAGGATTACCATCATTCATTCTCTTACAAACTTCCGACTATCATGAAATATCCTCAACATATGAAGTATAACGGATAAAGCCAGATTCAAAATTATTCAAATTTACACGCAGAAATTTGCTTAGTGCTATTTTACAGACGCGAAATATGGCCTCTAAGACTACAGGATATTCGTAGATCGCTTGTCGTGCGTCTATATGCTACTGCAGTATGGCAACTTGAACCGATGTATTTATGTACGATGTTCTGTCTTGTATCTGTGTGCCTGTAAATGGGGTTATTATTCAACAAATACAGTTTCACTCTATCATAGCAAATCGAAAACTAAACGAGATGTTTCTTCACTTCGTGCTGATGATGTTGTTCAGAAGAACAATGAAAGCTCCACAACCAAAACAACCAGCTCAGAGAACGAAACACCACCACAATCATTCACCTGAGCTACAAGTTTTCTCCACCATCTCTAAACGAGATGTATTATGTTGTGTGTGGTCTCGGCTTATATTGTGATTGTCACATTTTTAATTGCAATGTGTCCGTGTTTACCTCCTTTATGGTCACAAGGAGTTAATTGCTAATAACTGCGTTATGTCGAATATGATAAATAAACTCAACCGCGTAAAAGAATACATTATTTCGGACAGAAATTGTGAAATGCAGTCGGTTGAAAGTAAAGCAAACAACGATTCACACTGTGTAGTTATATTTGATAGTTGAAGAGAACTAAATGAAGCATGTTATATTCTTGTGAGAAGATTCCAAGGAAAAAGTATCAAATTAATTGTATACACTCTATTGTTATCTCTAGACGATGAATATTGACAAACTCCTCAACAGTCTCCATAACCTTCAAAAAATAGATGTTTCTGATGCATGCTGGTAGGCTGGACAATGAAGAGGTGATAATCTACCGATCAAACTGCGTATCATAGTGGATCGTCCACTTGAGCGAAACTCATGAATACAAATTAGTCTCAATCACTAATAAAATTGACTTCTCGCAATAACAGGTGATGCTATGAAGGCCTGTGTGTCGATAAAGTAACAACTGATTCAGTCAGTGGTACACGAAAATATTTTAATTTATTTTCAGTGGTCAGTATGAATATTATCATAACTCACCACTGTATTGACTATTTCAACATAACAGGTTAAATAGTTCCTTGGTTATAAATATACACTTGCAGCGCTGATGATTTTTATTCCCTTATCTCTGCCTCTTTTTCCTCCCTTTTCAGAACACTATTCATGGTAGAAAATCCATGACTCATCTACGGAACGTGCAACCTATGTACATACATTTTTGAATCAGAGCTTGTATCTAGCTCGTTCCCTTTGAACTTTCCCATTACACTCACTATTGATCTCGGCAAACCACCGGAGAAACCTACTGTGGAACTTCCCTATTTGTACTCCTTTAGTAAAAATATGTCTGTATCATACTGTTTGGTCAGCGATATGTAGCAAATGTACATTCAGAAACTGATTTATACTTAATCTAACTGCAATAACTTTTAAAGTAAATGTGAAAGCACTTCTGGTCACTTTATCGAGCCTTTGGAGTGGCATTTCTCTTGTAACGTAGTTATTTGATAATTAATAATATTACAAGTATTAAGAACAACAAAGTGTAATCGTGAACTGTCTGAATCTTACATATTCGTTTCCAGTTGAAATAGTTTTCGTCGACATGTAATAGAAATAAACCGGTGGGGTGAATAAAACGGATCGAATATTTTGTTCAAAAACTGAAGATCTGTGGGATTATTTCGCAGGATGAATGAGATGGCGGGGAAATCTGTCTTTTTCTGCTGTTTTCTTTCACCGCTGCCTGGTGTATTGCCATTGATTTCTGTAACTTCCACTGCTCGCGATCATTGCGCAAACTTTTCGTCAGCCTGCACTTAAGCTTAATTCGGTCTTCATTATGTTTACAGCCA